CTACATGCTGACGGTCACCGCGAAAGCCGAACTGACCAACGGCTATAGATACATTAAGGAACTGCTCTTGCAAATCCACAACTTCAGGATGTATGAGGATTATTGCAAACTAACACAAGCAGGAGTAAAGGTTCATTATGTCAAGACAGATGCCTTTCTGATAGATACTAGCGACTTGTGGCGCGCTAGAAGACGGCTTGACTTCTCCAATGAGATAGGGGGCTGGAGAGTAGAGAAGGATAAGCAATACAGACCGCCAACCGACAATTACGAGATGAAGCCAAGTGAGTTGTTGAAATCCCGACATTTGAGAACGAACGGATAATGGTAGAGGACGAATGGAATGCTGATGCAATCTGCAAGCAAATAGTAGAGAAGAATGGATGTATGATTAAAGGCGAACAATGCGACTGTGAAAGCACAACTGCTAATAAATTCTTTTCAATCAGTATGGAAGAGAATGAGAAACTACCTGTTTATGACTACGCGCGTTTCGATGTAATTGTATTTGATGAAATCTATTGTAATGACTTTAGCATATATCACCGAATAAACAAGTTTATCAAAGATTATATAAACAGCAAAATCATTATCGCGACTGGTGATACTAATCCACTATCCCCAATCAAACCTTTCTCAAACACTAAACCATTTGAAGAATACGCTAATGCATGTATCAAAAATTATGTTTAAATATGAGATTTACTTATACGAACGCAAAAGACTTAAAACAATAGAAGACAAAATCAAATTGTCTAACATTAAATTTGACTTACTTTCAACAGACAAACCTTTTGAACAAATAATAGACAACTCTTTTAAATGGGAAAATGATATTAGAGTATGTAATCATAATATAGCCTACGAAAATAAAACATGCAAAATCGTTTCAAATGTGATGAGAAAACTATTAAACAAAAAAGAAGAATTTGAAATAGGCGATGTTATGATATGTAAGGAATATTTAAAGGTTAAAGGCTTTGTATTTAACGTGAATATTAGATACAAAATTATCAAAATTGATGGCAATGTATTTACTTTACAAAATGTTAAGACACTGGAAGACTTAACAATACTGAAAGATAAACTGCGGACAAATTTTATTTATAGTTATTGTTTCACTGCTCATTCCGTCCAAGGAAGTTCAATAGATGATGAAATAGTAGTTTTTGATTGGAACAAACATTATGTGTCAAGACAATGGGTTTATGTTGCAGTAACCAGAGCAAGGGATTTAAATAAAGTAAGTTTTTACAATACTGATTTAAAGAAAAGAGGACTATAGATAAATAGGGATATGAACAGGTATGAGAACGGGAAGATTTACAAAATAACTGATATAGGTTATAATAAATGCTATTTTGGCTCAACTTGTGAAGAGCTGAGCCAAAGGATGGCACGCCGTAGGTACAAATACCCACAGTATTTAAAAGGCAAGATGGATAAGGTCAGTGTGTTCAAACTATTTGATGAGTTTGGAGTTGAAAACTGTAAAATAGAATTGGTTGAGTTATACCCCACAAACAGTAAATCAGAACTACAGAGAAGAGAAGGTCACTATATCAAAAACAACGACTGTGTCAACAAACGAATTGAAGGTAGAACTGACAAGGAATATAGAGAAGATAACAAGGAAAGAGAACAACAAAGGCACAACGAGTACTACATTAACAACAAAGACAAAATCCAAACAAAAAGAGATGCACACAAAGACAAAGCAAAGGATTATAACAAGCAATACAGAGAAGCACATAAAGAACGAATAAAAGCTCAACGAAAGAATTACAGAGAAGACAACAAGCAAAATTTAAAAGAACAGCAAAGAAGATGTTATGAAACAAACAAGGAAGAGCGCCACAAACAAGCGAAACAACATTATCAAGAAAACAAAGACGAAAGGAACAGACAAAGTAGGGAGAAATACGCAGAAAACAAGGAGCATGTTTTAGAACAACGCAAGGCAAAATACACATGTGAGTGCGGGTCTATGTTGAGAAAAGATGGTAAAATAGACCAATTGAAAACCATTAAACACCAAAACTGGCTGAAGCAACAGCAACAAGCAGAACAAGTACAAGAAGAACAAGCGCTACAATAACAATTTAAAATATCATCTTCATTAATATGAGCAATAGTAATAAAGATGATATTATTTCAAGTATTTATTTTGATAGGAGCGGTTTCGGCAGTATTGCAACGACATACAAAGACAGCCGAGTAAAAGATAAAACTATAACCTTAGCTGATGTTAGGGACTGGTTCAAGAGAAATGTAGAGCAGAAAGCAAAGCCACGAGGTTATAATTCCTTTGTAGCGCCACATGATGCATTTGAATACCAAATGGATTTATTCTTCTTTAGCGATTTAAAGAACCAAAAATTTAAAGTTGCGTTTTTGTTTATTGATACATTTTCCAAATATGCTGTTGTAATACCCATTAAATCTAAGCAACCCGAAGATGTAGCAATGGGGATTATAGAAGGTTTTAACAAGATGGGAAAGAAGCCCAAAATGGTATATGCCGATATGGAAGGTTCATTTACTTCTAACATAATCAAAGAATATTTTGATTAGGAAGGTATTGAACTGTATTTAACAAGAGGACATGCGCCAGTAGCAGAGCGGTTTATCAGGACATATAAACAAATGCTTTACAAAAGAATTGAACACGATGAAAAGCAAGGAAAAGAGAATATACAATGGACAGATTATAATTTTGAAGTCTTGCTGACTTACAATAACAAGATGAAGCATTCCGCAACAAATATGACACCTAAAGAGGCAAGACTACCCAAGAATGAATTAACAGCTAAACTACACATGACAGCACACGCAAAAAACACACGGACATATCCCGAGATTGATATTTCAGACAAGGTGAAAATAGCAAGGAAGAACGAAGTAGGAGAAAAAGAACGAACAAGCAACTGGAGCAAAAATGCATACGCGATAGAGAAAATTGATGAGAAATTAGGGCAAAAATATTATTATGTAGAAGGGAGCAATAGACCATATTTAAGGCACGAGTTATTAAAGGTTTAGTGCAGTAATTGTTTTTCTGCTTGTTTTGTAGGGCATCGGGCACGATGCTGTAGGGCACGATGCTGTAGCGCATCGGGCACGATGCTGTAGCGCATCGGGCACGATACTGTAGGGCTTTCTGAGTATTCAGGGCTTGATTTTATAGAGCATCGGGCACGATGCTGTAGGGCACGATGCTGGAAGGCATCGGGCACGATGCTATGATGAAGTTTTTTTAATCAGTCAGCCCTCAATCAAATTTGCAGTATGATGCGCAGAATGAGATTATTAGTTGATGTCAGGGAAAAAGCGATTTAAAGAAATGAGAACTATATATATTAGAGTATGGAGACTGAAAGACAGTATTGTAGAAAGTGCCAAACCCACAGACCGATTGAAGCATTTGCAGAAGGCTTCCTCACCTGCACAAGATGTAGAGACAAAGAGAAGAGAAGATACGACAGGGAAAGAGAAAGGTTGTTAGAACAGAAGAAAGAATACAGAGAAAGAGAGAAGGAACATATACGCGAGAAACAGATAGAGCATTTCCAATCAGTTAAGGACATCGTTATTACATGTCCTGTATGTAATTACGACATTAAGAAATACAAGAAGGCACAACATGAGACATCACAATTTCATCAGGACAACTTGGTAAGACAATTAAACCCCGATATGGAAGCACTACCAGAACCTGATGAGATTAGAGTAATAAATGGAAAGGAACAATACTATTGCTACGCTTGTAAATGTTCTACGATATGTTGGTTTTGGAAGAACCATGTGCAACAACAATCCCATATAGAAGCCATTAAAAAGAGGAATGAAGCAGAAAAAACAGTAATTGATACAATCTATTCTAAAATATATTGATAAAAAGATTTTGTCAATATTCCTTTATATTAACAAAACCTTGTATCATCTACTACCCCAAGCCCCGAACACGAAGTTTCGTGTAGCATACGCGAACCACCGAAAATACCCTAAATTCTATCAACCCCCTCATGCCCGTCGGGATATGTAAATACATTTTTGAATATTTTTTTAAAATGAATAAACCCCATCACGCCCATAGGAAGATACGAATTTAGAAAACATTTAAAGGAATACTAGTATTATATATGTAGTATGGAAACGGTCAAAAGATGTAGCAGATGTAGGAAGGAGAAAGAGGAAGTTGAATTCAAGGAGGGGCGCCGAGTTTGTATTCCGTGCTCGGATGCTTGTAGAAAAAACCAACAGGACAACCCAGACAAGGCGAGGGAGAAATGTCAAAGGTATTACGAGAAGAAGCGAGAAATAATATTAGAGAATAAAAGAGAAAAGACTTGGTGCGACTTATGCGACATGTATGTATTCAAAGACCAATACCAGAGACATACAAAAACAATGAGACACCAACACTATTTAAAATTAGAAGAAGGAGAGCAGTCAGATGTGGAAGATACTAAAAATAAATTTTGGTGTGAGACTTGTAGAATTTGGTTAAGTAAGAAGACAAGGACATCACATTTTGGAACACCAAGACACCTTGAATTGGCACAGCGAAGCCAGGATAGTACTGCTTGATACATTCAATTTAAATTATTCAATGTATCAAGGAGTTTGTAATTTGTTTTTCTGGTCGGCGGGGAGGCCGGAGTGTGTAGTATGACGGCGAGCGTTAGCATTGCTTACTATGTAGGGGGGGTTAAGCTGTGCCTGACTCAAAACCATAAGCACAGCCAGACAAAAGCGAGCACCTCTTGAGACGAAGGGGTTCCGCGTCTCTCCCTGTGCCTCCGAAGATCCCAGAAGCTCTCTTCATGTGTCAACGACAAACCAGCCAATGAGTTTGCACTGAGCATACCAAGAAATTCCAATATAGTCGCAGTCCCTCTGGAGCAGAACTCTAACAGAAACTTGGGAGGATTCACACTAATGATTGTTTGGATGGGTTGGTGGGGGATTCATCAGCCTCAGTCCCACTTTCCGGAGTCATGGCCATGTGTCCTGGCGACACGACGGAATGGGATCCGCTGGCTTGTCCATTGTTGCCACGCTCTGACTTTCTGCTGATCCTGGCTCTTGACACTTGCCAGGACGATGTGCAGCGGAAGTTCGGCAACTTGCCGCCGCTGGTGACCGAACCTGAGGGTGTGCACGGGGGCAGTGGCACCAAAACACACACAACGCACGTGAATGCACCCTGCGGGAGCTAGGACGGCAGCGGATCGAGAGATCGCAGTTTCAAAAGTTTCAAACGTTGCGTCAAAGAGGGTCCGCGGGAAGTGCCCCAGGAAGGAGCTGCCGCAGCGGGAGCTCCACCAAGCCCTGGCCCGGGGCCCCGCAGCCCGAGATCCGCCTTGAGATCCGCAGGATGGAGGAGTGTTTCAGAGCTTTCATACTCTTTTCCACGACTTTCCTCTCAGAAAATGAGGACGCGCGACGTATCTCACACAGCTGTTCTCAGCTGTTCTCAGTGAAATTCAATAAGTCACTCTTCTGAGGCGGATGGGGCAGAGGCCTACGAGCCCCTCGAGTTTCGGAGCTTCGACGAGATAGAGGCCTTGCAAAAAGCGGGAGATTGGATCAAAAGCCTCCGAGGATCAGAGGGTCCAGAGAATTCTGGAGAAAAACGAGCAAGCAGAGAAGACGCCCTCCTCTCAAAGCCTCGAAACATAAGTACTGTTGAGGCTTTGAAAGAAGAGGCCCAGGACGACGACGAGGAGCTGCTGCGCAAATACCGCAAGCAGCGCTTGGCTCGGGGCTCCCAGGAAGAGGGGCGCTCTGCTTTCCTCCGAGAGTCAGACGCCTTCTCCCCTTCTTGCTGTGAGCGCTGTGTACCTTGCCGGCCAGCCAACTGGCTTACAGGCTGTCCAGGCACCGAGACCGCTTTGTAGGTCTACCTAGATCCTTGAACACTTGAACACCTGAACACTTGAAGAACACTTGAAGAACACTTGAGAACTCAGTTCCTGTAAAAGCTTTCGAAAGATTTCGAAGAAGTTGGATGTTCAGCCCAGCTTCAGGACTCCGTAAAGACTCCGTAAATCCGTGACAAGTCGCCCTGCACAATCTGTCGGACTTCCCGCCGTTGGAATGCCGGAGGCACGGTAGCCGCCGCCATATACGAGCCATCAAGGTCATGAGGGTCAAGTGCGGCCCAAGCAGCTCCGCAAAGAAACGCGAAGAATTCACAAACAAAAAAGAGAGAAACAAACGCGGCGCGCGCGCAGGCGCCGGCACCTCAAGGAGGCGGAGGCCGAGACTTGCTGGGTCCTGCGTTCGTCATGCAAGAGACTTGAGAAGTCTCATTGAGAGGCCTTTTGAGAGGAGGACCATCCCCCGTCACCCCCCTTCCCCCCAAAAGAGAGTTGGGAGGCAACAGAAATGTTGTGCAGCGTTTGCCTTCCCGGAGTGCACTGAGACACAGAGAGGTCTCCAGAGTCTCCAGGGCTTCTCCCTGCCCTGCGGCCGGGTGCTGGGCATCCCGCCTCTTGGAGAATTGGAAGGGGAGGGGGAAGTGAGAGGTGGGGGCAAAAACACCGTCCCTCTCTCTCTCTCTCTCGGTCGCTCTCGCGCTCGCCCTCTCTTTCTCCAATTTGTTCGGAGAGATGCTGTTCACTTCAATGACGGGAGGGAAGCGCGCTCTCTGTTCGAGAAAACAGGCCGCTTAATGTCTAGTATCTAGGCTGCGCCCGACTCCACAGCCTTTCTCCCGCTCTCTCGCATCTAAGGATTCGCCTGCACGCTACTCGGCTGTCCAACATTGCACTATGCTGCACCATGTTACACCATGTTACACCATGTTACACCATGTTGCACCATGTTTCACCATGTTACACCATGTAATGCTATGCACTCCGTGAATGTATTTGAACGTCCACACAAAGTCTTTGCATGTTTCCACCGTCTTGAGACTTTATAAATTCTCTGCCAACTCGGGGAGTTGGGCGATCTTCGAGGAGAGAGATAGGGCTTTTCAAAGTTTTCGAGTTGGGGCTTGACGAGAGGCTTGAGAAGAGGCACGACGGATCACGACGGAAGAGACGTGAGGTGCTGCTGCCTCTGACAGTGGTGCTGGCTGGCCTCGGTCCGATTGTGTCTGGGCATCCCTGGCTTTCCGCCTGCGCCTCAAGGAGTTCAAGGAGCTTTCAATGTCCCATGTCCATGCGCAGATCTGGACGTCCTGCTGCCTTTGGCTTTGCTTCGTGGCAACATCTGCTTCAGGTCGCTCTCGCGGTGCTGGTTGCAGGGCCATTGCTGACACTTGGCATCATTTAGCCATAGCGCCTACGTACACCGCTGCAATCCTCGTACTGGTGCCTTGAGGTCTCCGCGTGCGGTTGCGTTGCACTGCCCACGTAACGTGAAGCGCGGCGGTGAGGCTCATCACCGTCTTAGCCCACGAGCTGGGCCACGTCCTTGCAGCCAGGCCCCGAATCCCCAAGCAGTGTTCCACAAGCCGATGTGCAGAGCTCAGCTCCGAATGTTTTTCGAAGAATTCCAATGTCCACCAGGAGATGCGGCTGCCCCGCTGATCACATCCTCCTTTGGCCGCTAGGGGGGTTGGCCTTCATTGGCGGATCTGCGGGCCCCAAGGACCGCAGACGACCACCATGAGACCACAGCTCCTGCTTTGCACACTCGTCGCCAGGCACAGATCTTCATCTCCGCCTCAGGCCCTGCAACTCATCTGCCCATGCTGGGTGCCTTGGTACTATGCATTGGACTGAGAGAGGTGTCAGCAAGAAGGTCGAGTCTGTTGTTTTGCTCCACTTGCCTCATTTGAGGCGTCTGGGCGTTGCTCCTGGCACTGCTTCAGGGCCACATCACCCTGTCCACCCACGGCCTCTTCATCGATCGGGACTTCTTCAACTTAGTGTGCCCTTGCTACAACGTAGCTGCATCAGACCAACCGGGGCACGCACAGAAAGGATGTGCCCAGCTGAGGTGCATCGCCATGCTGAGCTGCCCGGCCGCATCTTCATGGACCGCAAATGCAATGCATGAAAACAGCTTAAGGCAGCTCGAAAGAGCTCCAAGCATCAGAGAAGTACTCATCAAAGCACGCTGCTCAGATACCAACGTGGCGATGCTGCTCTTCAATCTGCCCTCACCTCAGTCACCTCTCGTGGACTGCTGACTCTGCACCTGCACAGATTTGAACGCAAAGAGATCGCAGAGACTGAGTCAGGCTGGTCCCTTGCTTCCCCTTGGACTGCTCGCGGATCCTGGCCAGCCTGCTCCTGTTCTGGATGGAGCCGGGGAAAGCCGCTGGCGCTCGGGGGCCTGGATGTTGGCCCGGGAAACTTTTCGAGGGGGAGATGCGCCGCGGAGATGCCTACGTACACAGTCCAACCTGAATTTTTTTTCGATAACACGTCGCGTCGCTTAAGGGGGACGTGAGTCGTGACGAATGTGATGGCCAGTCGGGGGCTGGGAGAGACTTGTGTGTAAGGTCATCGTGATTTGCTCTTGCATTGCGCTCATTGTGCTTGTCGGCCTGAGCATTTGGTCCTATGCGACGCTTGGCTGAACCTGTGAATATGACATTTGAAAATATGCCACATCTACATGCGACCTGGCAGCTCTCCCTTCAGGGAAAGCAGCACGTCTTCGCCCGGCGCCCAGACCTGATCTCACGCACAGCGACAGCAGAAGCCCTCCAAGCGGGGCCCAAAGCCCAAAAAGACCCAAAAGTCTCGGACCCCAGCTGACTCAGCGAGGTCCTTGAACTTGTTCTTGGCGTTCTGGCTCGGCATACAGACCTGGAGGCATGCCTCTCGCCCTCAAACTGCGTCCAGTGAGAGACTTCGACAGGAAACGACTTTCAAGAAAAGACCCAAGAACCAGTCCCCAACCTTACCTTCTCACATTCAATCATGCATGGTTGCGAGACATTGCGTTCCCGAAGCACGAAGCCAGGCTGCATCAAAGTCGACAACAGGCACGGAGGGGAAGTGCGGCAAGTGTGGCAAAGCTGGCAACCACAATTCATTCTGAGCGTCTCTTCTTCCGAGCCTGCTCCGAGATCTCTCTTCGTTTCTTTGCGGCGCAATTTTGAAAGAGCCTCCGAGAGGGCGACCTGGCCTCCGATCCGCTCTTCGGCGCGGCCATGGCGGCGTCCCAGGCATCCGAGGCCCAGGCCCAGGCAGCACCAAGCCGCTTCCGGCCCTTTGAAGGAGGCGCTAAGATGTGTGCTGCTGCAACGGAGAGAGAAGGGGCCGGGCTTTAGCTTGTTTTTTTTTGCTTTTGTCAAGTGGCGTGCGAGGCGCCATGTCGTTGGGCAAAGCCACTGCGCCCACCGGCCAAGTGCCTTGGCGAGCTCTCGGTCGGGAGTTCAAAGTTTGCATCGAAAAGTTGCCTCTCCGTTTTACGAGCACAGTTGTCTTCCCCCCCCCAACTTAAGAGGTCTGCCTCGGTGCAGCCCTCGCCTTGTGCGTGGCGATGCACGTCTCCCGCGCCGGGCTGCGGCTTTCGGAGCCTTCGGAGCCTTCGGAGCCTTCGCCTGGCCTCTGAGAAAAAATCGGAGGAGGAAAAAAAGGGAAAAAAAGGAAAAGGATAGAGAGAGAGAGAGGGAGAGAGAAGGGACAGAGATAGAGAAAGCAAGAGAAGGGAGAGGAGAAGAGAGAGGAAATGGAGAGGAAAAGAGAAAGGAGAAGGAGCTTGAGAAGAGAGAAGAAGCGGGTGTGTGTGTGTGTGTCTCTGTTTGATGCAGAAAGCGATGTGCTTTCCCGCCGCCACACGGGCCAACGTGAAGAGATCATCCGGTTGAGCCGTACTAGAGTGTGGTCCGCTGAAAGAAGCCGAGGCCGAGCTGAAGGAGGCCGCCTCGGCACGCTTCGGCGAGCTGAGGCAGCTCTGCCGCGCTGAGTACATCCGGGAGGTCACGGAGGCCAGTGCGGCAGGCCAGGGGCCGGGCAGACCCAGCACTCGGAGGCTTTCTCTGAACCTGCTTTCGAAGAAACTAGAGTAGATAAGCGAGAACATGAGCTCACAAGAACGAAGAGCGAAGAGCGAAGAGCGAAGATTCGGACTGGTTAGGACAATGGGTGCTGGTCTTGCTGTACACCGAGAGCAGCCACGCATGCCACGCGATGATGAGGTGCATCGGGTTGCCTCGCAAAAGACAGATGTTCCCACAGTTTTCTGAAAGTGCAAACGTTAGGAAAACATAGGATGTTGTTTTTGCGCTTGTACACCCTATAGAGCCATGATTAGGTTACCAGCACACAAGGGATAAACATTTCTATTTACTTCAACCACTTTTTTCAGGGGCTGTGAAACCTTTTCGCAAAGCAAGAAGAGTTGGGTAAAATACCCGATTGCTCTGCAAAAAGATTCTATACAAGGGCAGAAACCTGTTACGTTGCTCCACACTGTAAACGTACAAACATCGTAAGGGTTTGGTCAAGGTCCTAGAAGTTTGTCGCATGTCTCCTCCCTTCCTGCCCGTAGTATCCAAATAGCACCCGAGCTTTGGGCACCGAGCGTATTCAACTAGCATCCTGCTTTGCGGGGCCAAGCGTACTCAATAGCACCCAAGTCTCTAGCATCCTGCTTTTTGGACCGAGTGTACTCAAACGTGTTCAACTAGCATCCTGCGTTTTGGGACCGAGCGTACTCAAACAGCACGCAATTTTTGGGGACCGGGCGCGTTCAACTTATCATCGTGCTTTTGGGGACCGAGCTTACTCAAATGGCCATCCCTTCCCTTTGTGCGCGTAGGGTTTGGTCGAAGTTTGTCGTATGTCCCTTCCAAGACTTGGGCGCTATTTGAGTATGCTCAAATAGCTGAGGCCAGCGACCAAATGCTCGCGCCTGGGAGGGTGAAAGCGTTCTAGAACCGTGATATCGTACACAACTGGCTAGCACCCATCTGCACCCTGATGACCAAATAGCTCGCGCCATGGCGCAAGCTATTTGGTCGCAGGGAAACATCCATGGTGTTTTCACACGTTAAAACACGTTGAAACGCAAGTTTTCAGGGCTGGTCCCAGTAACATATGTCCAACCCTTATGGAGCCACGGTTACGTTACCAGCACAAACCACCTCTTTCAGGGATGTTGTTCTGGTCGCAGTAGGCTTTTCACAACCCGCATAGAGCCACGATTTCGTTGCCAGCACTTGTTCAGTTTTCATCGTAAGGAAGTAGCACCCCATTTGCGTCCCGATGACCAAATAGCTCGCGCCAGTGGCCCCCCCCAAAAAACCTATAATATAATTCATGTGAATGCGTGAACGAAACGTGCGTCCTTTTGCTCCTTACTTTTGTTCACTTATTCACATATTATATTATGGGGAGAGAACAGTGTGTGCGGACCAATAAAAAACGTACTGTGCGCATGAATAGTGTGAACGCAGAGAACACGTGTGCACATAATTCACTTCGTTCGCATAATATTATTATGGGCAAAGACTGCGCGCCGTAATATTTATTTTGTGACCGTGTGAATATAATGCATGCTCCCCCATACAATGGCGCGAGGCTGCGAGGCATGACGGTTTTTGCTTCTTTGTATACCTTTGTGTTTCCTAAATGCCCGGAAACCAGTCCGCGCACGCTTTCTCGATGTTTTCCATGGTCGGCGCTTGTGTCTTTGATTGCCAAAGGTAAAAAACACGGGGTCCCGCAGGTCTGCGCCCATCATTTACACAACTCTGCTTGCTCTGCGTACGAGCGCGAAGGGAGGGGACGTGCGACAATCTTTTAGGGCCCTCATCAGGCCCTACGAGCACAAAGGGAGACATATGACAAACCTCTAAAGGATATGACTGTACTTCTACAGTGTGCTGAATCCCAAAGTTTGGGTGCTGTTTGACAATTTGAGTACGCTTGGGCCCCACAAAGCAGGATGCTAGTTGAACACGCTCGGTCCCCAAAACTTGGGTGTTATTTGAGTACGTGCAGTCCCCAAAAGCAGGATCGTAGTTGAACACGCCTCTTTGAAACCTTCAAACCTCGCACGCTGGGCCCTTCAAGCACATTATGGTTTTAGGGCTTTCAGGCTTAACCTCGAGGGGCCCTCACCCCACGAGCACGAAGGGAGGGGACATGCGACAAACTTCTAGTGCCCTCTCCAAACCTTACGAGCACGAAGGGAGGGGACATCCGACAAACTTCTAAGGGTTATGTTTTTATTCTACAGCGTTCTGAACGTGTAAACGTTAGGAACAACATAGGATTTTTTTGCGCTCGTATAGAACCTTTCCGCAGAGCAATCAGGGTTTTTACCCAACTCTTCTTGCTCTGCGAAAAGGTTTCGCAGCACCCAATAAAAGGTTGCGTAAGCAAATAGAGATGTTTGTCCCTTTTGTGCATAGGGTGTGCAAGCGCAAAAACATCCTATGTTTTCCTAACGTTTGCACATTTGAAACGCTGTAGAAGTAAAAACATGTTTTTTGGAGGTTTGCTGTGTCTCCCAGTGCAGGCGGATTACGTGGCCAACTAGCATCCTGCTTTTTGGGGACCGAGTGTACTCAAATAGCACCCAAGTTTCATGAAAGCTTTGGGGACCGAGCGTGTTCAACTAGCATCTTGCTTTTTGGGGACACAGCGTCTCAAACAGCACCCATGTTTTGGGGACCGCGCTTTCAGAACACGTGTGTCCCTTTTCCCTTCGCGCTCGTAGGGTGACGTCGAAAGCAACTAGCACCCCTTCTGCGCCCTGATGACCAAATAGCTCGCGCCATGGCGCGAGCTATTTGGTCGCAGGGGAAGCACCTATGGTGTGTTAGCACGTTAAAGCACGTTTTCCGGGCTAGTGTTCTGCCCCCAAAAGCCGGTGCCAGTAACGTAATCGTGGCCCTATAGACCGCCTGCATTTCAAATCGGTTCCAGTGACCCAATCTTGCCAAGCGCGTGACACCAAGCGGTTCCTGTTTGGGGAATGAGTCTTCTCGGGTTGCCTCTTGTCGCGGGCTACCTCTTGTCTCCGAGCCTCTTTCCCTCAGAGAGAGCCTCTCTCCAGAGTGAGGCCCTGGGCGGAGGCGGCGCGGCGCTTCCCGGCCGTGAAGTTCCTGAAAGGGGTGGCCTCGGAGGCCGCGGGGCGGGGGGGCCTTCCTTTTTCTTGGTTGGAGGCCGTTCAAGAGCCAAATTACCTTTCGAAGTGTGGGCCGCAAATTCAACATCACGCAAGACAAATACTCTGATTCCAATATTAGGGGATCATTCTGAGCCACCCGAGATCATTCCCGACTTCCCGGACAGCCTCACGCCCACTGTGATCATGTGCCCCTGCAGTCTTCTTCTGTCAAAGGAAAAGGGGGAGGAAAGATCGAGAGAGAGGGAGAGCCTTGTTAGTATGTCCTTCTCTCCTCTCAAAAGAGAGGTACAAGGACAAGGAGTGCGCGAAGAAGGTGCAGGGCCTCGCCGACTGGGGAGGCCAAAATCGAGTCTGCCGCGGGCCAAGTCGGGCCCAAGCCAAATCTCTGAATTAAGAAGATGGGGCTCGTATAACTCTTATACCATTGTTGCTTTGTTTTTGAGGATGTTCGGAGTCGTAGAAAGCGGGAGCTCTGCCTTGAGGTGCCGATTCCGTGGAGTGGGTGCTGGCAGAGCTGGGAGTGGTGACGTGCCCTAACACTTGTCTGTGCTCCTTTGAGCGTTTCACATTGGGAGAGAGAAGTTCGGCCCTCTGAACGCCTTTGAACGCCCTGACAGCTGAGGTGAAGACGGAACTGGAAGAGGATCCCAGGGTGACTTGGCACACCTTCAGGGCACTGACGTTTGCTAAGCACTTTTGCCCGGGGACCGGATTGTTGATTTCGCCGCCGCGAGGCCTCCGAGCCTGCAGATGGCCCCAGTGGCCGGAAGGAGGAGAGAGACGGAGTAGGATTCTGCATCTCAGGGGGCAGTGTGTTCAAAGCGGCCGGCCGCCGATGTGTGAAAGGACTTCTCCGATTCCGACGAAGGCGGAGACCCGTGAAGAGCACACAGCCTGTGACCCCCCCCACACCCACGCACTCTCTCTCTCTCTCTCTCTCTCTCTCATACGCACGCATTTGCAGGCAAAGACGACCGCAGCTACACCTCCTCCAGACTCGAGCGAACTCTTCGGGGAAAGTGGAGATAACATGGACGGCGCAGCCCTGTGTGCCATATCTGTTGCCCGCAACCTTGCTTTGCACTTTGAGCTTCGCTGTTGCCACAATTGCTTGCGCTTCGTTGCATGCCTTGTGCACAGCAAGCCTTGCAAGCACTTGAGCGCAAGCCGAACCCACGGTCAAGAAACGGCGCAGGATCTTAGAGAGCGGTCACAGCGTTCCAGCAAAAAGATCAGTCTGAAGCCGCATTCGGGCGCACCCCATCGCAACCCTAAAGTCGTTGCCTGATTAGGGCACTTGTTATGGCTCCCTCTGTGGCTTCTGCTGCTCTGGCCATGAATCCTGCAAGCTACGGCCACGCCGGCCACGCCGGCCACGCCGGCGGCTTGAGGGCACCTCGCAGGGCGCGCGTAGAGGTGCGCCGAGGCTCCGCCAATGGATCCCAAGCTCTCGCTCTGAGCTTTCTAAGCACTTTGGCCCTTCGGGGAGGCGCTTCTCCCAGAGGCAGAGCGAGGGGTATTCGGGGCCAGCGCGCCGGTCTCCGCGCACGAGGTGGAAGCGATGATGGGCTTCGTCCATGGCAGCGGCAGCTGCCGAATGTGTTGACCTGCTTGCGGATCCTGGCCATCGTGCCTGTGATGGCCCTGTTCTACCTGCCCTGGAAGCACAGTCCATTGGCTTGCTGCTGCATCTTTGCTGCCGCCTCTGCGACAGATGGGATCGACGGCTACCTTGCACGGCGCTGGAAAGTCGTCTCTCCCTTTGGCCAGTTCCTTGATCCTGTGGCAGACAAGCTGCTCGCGTGTGCCGTTCTGGTGCTGCTGCCGACAGCCGAGTTCGAATCTCGGGCGTCGCTTGCCGTCCCGGCGGCGCTCATCATCCTGCGCGAGATCTTTGCAAGCGCTCTGCGCGAGTGGACTGCCAAGGTGGGGGAAAGTTCCCTCACCCAGGTTGGCGTTTGGGGAAAGCTGAAGACGGCTGTCATCCTTTTGAGCCTCTGCGGGCTCCTGGCAACTTGCCGCTCCGGCTTCAGTTCCGGGATCTTCAAGGTGAGCCTGTGTCTTCTCTATCTGGGCACAGTCCTGGCCTACATCTCCATAGGCAGCTACCTAAAGGCCGCCATGCCTGCCTTCAAGGCTCCCAAGAAGCTACAAGAGCTTGCGTCCGACGAAAGCAAGTAGACCCAAGCCCCACAATATCCATCAGCCTGGCCCTCCCAGCTCAGGAACCATGACTAGGCCCATGAACTTTTGGGGGAGTGATCCTGATATTGTGTCAGTTTTGAGTTTGGGGTGCATCTTTTGACCCCACGCTTAATTAGACCCTGGACCTTTTTGACTGCCCTTTCTTCGGCCCCCACCCCCTCAGTTGTACTTCTTGCGAGCGCCTCGTCTCTCCGCATCCTCCTTCTCAAAAAGCTTGCAAAAATGGTCTTGAAATGAGAGCGCTCACTTCTAAGCTCCTCCTGTTTGGCCTGCACCGCACAACTTATCTTGTAGCGCATCTGCTCTCTCCCCTCTGTCATTCCCGAAGGAGTGAGAAGCCGGCATCCTCTCAACAACTTTTCTCTGAGCATCCCCTTCCCCCCCCTCACTGGTGTAGCATCCCCCTTGGCATCCCCCCCCCCATTTCCCCCCGCCCCTGCCCTTTAGCCTGGGCGTGATGGGGGTGCCCATGTAGCCATGGGTCCTGGCGATCCGGCCTCCTTGTACCTGCTGCCGGCTATCACTGGTCGCTGCGTGGAGGTCCTGCCCAGGCGCGTGCAGCTTTTTGTCAAGCTTAAGGGGAGGGTCATATATCTATATATATGTATAATATGACATACGGGCTCTCACTCAGAAGTTGAGCAGGAAGCTGAACAACTTTGGAGTCGACCCGAGAAGAGAGGAGACCGCGAGAGAGCGATCTAAGGAACCGCGCCCTCTCAAGCTTTTTTTCAATCTGTCTCCCATCTCTACACTTTTACGGGGGTTTCTTGTAACAAGCACAAGCAAGCGATTCCACCCAAGTCTGGGGCCCAGAGAGAGAGAGAGAGAGAGATATTTTGAGCTCTGAGCTCACGGGTGCGACTCGGCAGTTTCACACCGGGGAAGCAAAGTAGGTGTGGACGCAGCGCAGTGGAAGTGAAGGGGCACAGTCGTCATTAATGTGGGGTGGGGGGAAGGGGGAAGGGGGGGGAACACATACACTGTGCACTGCGGTCTCGCCGCCTCTCCTGTTCAGTTTCACAACGATGAAATGACGTGTGGACCTCGGCGCGCCCAGAGTGCGGGGGGCGGTGAGGCCCTTCAAGCCCCGTAGAAGAAGAAGAAGAGGAAGAAGAGGAGAGAGCCCCAGTTGAAAAAGAGGCCCATCAAGCTCCAGCGGTCTGTGCGGGACCGCGTCAGCCGCAGCCGGCCCGCAGTGAAGAGCTGCTTCACCAAGGACATTGGGGAGGGGGGATAATTGAATCGTCATCGCTTTGACGTTTCGTTTGCGTCGCGTTGCGCGTTGTTTTTGCATGTTTTTGTGTTCTTTGGAGAAAGAGTTCATGGGGGGAAAAACCCGTGGAGCCAGGAAGAGGTGCCCAAACATGAACGCGATCTGGAAGGCTTCGAGGCACGCCCCGAAGAGTCCTACTCTGATACTCCTGCGGTCTCCCCCCCCAAAAAAAAGCTCCTCAATTCTCAGCCCTCCCTCAACCGTCGCCTCCCCGCTCTCAGCACTCTCTCCCTCTCTCTCGCTTTCTCTCTTTTTTTCTCTCCCTTGTGCTCTCTCATGCTTTCTCTTTCTTTCTCTTTCTCTCTCTTTCTCTCTGTTTCTCTCTCTTTTTCTCCTTTTTTATCTCTCTTTCTCGCTCTTTCTCTCTTTCTCTCTCTTTCTCTCTCTTTCTCCCTTTGTTCTCCCTTTTTCTCCCTTTTTCTAATTTTTTTCTATCTTTTCTCTCTCTCTTTCTCTTTTTCTTTGTTTTTCTCTTTCTCTCTTTCTCTCTTTCTCTCTTTCTCTCTATCTCTCTATCTCTCTATCTCTCTATCTCTCTTTCTCTCTTTCTCTCTTTCTCTCTTTCTCTCTTTCTCTCTTTCTCTCTTTCTCTCTTTCTCTCTTTCCCTCTTTCCCTCTTTCTATCTCGGCCTCCCCAAACCACTCCAAGTCTCAGCACCTCTCGACGAGTCTCCGAGAATCTCTCCGAGGCCCCGAGCAGCGCCTCTCCGCTTCCACATCGGTCGGCGTCGGTGCTGCCCCTCACGGACTCCTGGAGCGCTTCGGTGAAGAGAGAGTCGGCTCGAGTAGACTCGAGCGGACTCGAGTAGACTCGAGTAGAGCCACCGATCTCCAGCTGATCGATTCCCGATGTCGGTTCGTTGCCACTCGTGGACTCGAATGAAGGGATTGTCTTTGTGCACAGGTGACGAGACCTAGCTCTGTGGAGGTTAAGGAGTTGTCGTTTACCGCACTACCCCGAACCAAGGCACTAGGGGAAAAACACGTCCGGGACCTGATCAGAATTCTTATTAATCTTAATTTTAGTTCAATTTAATCAATTTTCATTACATTCAATTCATTAATTTTTTTATTTTTAATTCATTTTAATTGGTTGTTAATTCATTTTCATGTACTTTTATTAAATTTTAAGTATTTTTCACTTATTTAATTAATTTTGATTAATTTTAAATAATTTGAATTAATTTTCATTAATTTTTTTAAATCTTAATTAATAATTAAAATTCATGAATTTTAATTCGTCTAATTAGTTTTAATTAGTTTTAAGTAATTTTCATTAAGTTTGATTTATTTTAATCAATTTCAATTACTTCTAATTACTCTTAATTGATTTTATGAATTGAAATAATTTTAATCAATTTTACGTGATTTTTGAATAATTTTAAGTAATTGTAATTCATTTTCTTAATTTTGATTAGTTTCAATTAATTTTAGTTAACTTTATTCAATTTTAATTGGCTTTAATAAATTTTATTCAATTTTAATCGGGGCCTTGGTTTCGACGCTTCGCGCAAATTCCGTTGCTTTTCGATGCTGCCGCTGTGGTTTCGCGCGAATTGCGTTGCATTTCGATGCTCCCACTGTAGCTTGGCGCGAATTCCGGCCTCTCGTCTTCAGATTCAGGCCTCTTCTGGGGGGCCACTTAGGTTGCCGACCGCAACGGCGCGCGCGGTGGGACGGGTCCTTGGTTTCGACGCTCCCGCTGTGGTTTCGCGCGAAATCCGTTGCGTTTCGATGCTCCCGCTGTGGTTTCGCGCGAAGAATTCCGTTGCATTTCGATGCTCCCGCTGCGGTTTCGCGCGAATTCAGGCCTCTCGTGGCCTCTTCAGGCCTGTTCTGGGGGGGCCACTTAGGTTGCCCAACCGCAACGGCGCGCGCGGTGAGACGGGGCCTTGGTTTCGATGCTCCCGCTGTGGTTTCGCGCGAATTCCGTTGCATTTCGATGCTCCCGCTGTGGTTTCGCACGAATTCCGGCCTCTTCAGGCCTCTTCTTGGGGGACGGGACCTTGGTTTCGACGCTTCGAGCAAATTCCGTTGCTTTTCGATTCTGCCGCTGTGGTTTCGCGCGAATTGCGTTGCGTTTCGATGCTCCCACTGTAGTTTGCCGCGAATTCCGACCTCTCGTGGCCTCTTCAGATTCAGGCCTCTTCGGGGGGGGCCACTTAGGTTGCCGACCGCAACGCGCGCGCGGTGGGACGGGTCCATGGTTTCGACGCGGTTTCGCACGAATTCCGTTGTGTTTCGATGCTCCCGCTGTGGTTTCGCGCGAATACTGTTGCATTTCGATGCTTGCGCTGGTTTTGCGTGAACTCCGGCCTCTCGTGGCCTCTTCAGGCCTCTTCTGGGGGTTGCAGCGTTTGGGCCTAAGCGTCTTTCCAAGTTGCCGCCCTTCCGCGCGAGCATGCCGCAGCGTGGCAATGGGCAACCTGGACCTAGTGGTGATGATTCTTGGAATCAGCCGACGCCTGAGGGTCCCAGCGGTGATTGTTGTAAACCTGTGTAGCAAAGCTTGCGTTTCATGTAATTAGTGTTTCTTCTCCCTCAGCGTGGCGCGCAGTCTTGGCATGACATTGCCACGGTTGAACTGGTCTCGTCTTGCAGTTTTCCCTGTCCAAGCGGCGTTGTCAGAGATGCACATTCTCTCAAACACTCACTGGGGCATCATGTAGCTGAATCCCGCTCGTTCGGCCTTAAACTTAATGCTTACCTGTCAACCACGTTGAAACACAGATCCTTCTTTACGATCACGGTCACCGGCGCTCTAGACCCACCAACACGCAACGTCGAGCAACCTTGACTTTGTGACTTTGACACTTGCTTCTTTTCAGACAAGGAAAGATCAGCCAGTGCGCAAACGTGCGCAATCACGCGCAATCACGCGCAATCATGCACATGCCCTGCTAGAAGATGCGCGTTCGATTGCGTGGGGAAAACCTGAAGTCCGATCGTGGCCGAAGTAGCACGACGTGGCATGCGTTGTTGAATGAGGTTCACGACGTCTCAGCGAGAAACTTGCAGGTGCACATAAGCCTTTACCTAAACCTAAACCGCCCGTGCTCAGCAACCGGCGCGTTATTTTGCGCATGCCGCATGCTGGGTTCGAAAGTCGCGCCTCTCTTGCGGCCTGCCTTGCCAGTCTGACGCTACCTTGCGCCGATGGACCCTCCTGGACTTGTTCATCTTGTAATATCTTGTAGTTTAACAAGGAAGTGATCCACCGGCTTGGGCTTTTGCAAAGCTTGGCCAAGCGTTCTCCCCTCTTCGTCTTGAATAACTATCTTCTATTTGTCTTCCTCCCTTCTCTTCTGTCTCCTTGTTCTTGCAGTATCTCTTTCCTGCTCCTTCTTCTTCTCTTTGCTTCCGTCTCCTGTATGTTTTCAAGCCATGTGGCTTGCAAGCAGCAAAGGCGCTTGCGCGAGTTCATCATGTTCGTGCTTTGCGCGGCCCTGACCAAGACAGAGTCGATATCTGGCTTTTGTTGAGCACGGTGTTCTTTTGGGTACACTGCGTGCGTGTTGAGGTTGCTGCCTGGCCGCCAACCCCACAAGCCATGAAAACAGGCAGCAGAGGGCAAGGGCACCTGATCCGCGCCATCGTGAACCACCCATGGAAAAATGAGCAGACGATGCGCCTCATCTTGAACTCAGTCTTCCTGTTTAAGCTTAATCTTATTCCCCACAAGGCCCCATCCGGGCTTTAAGTGGTGCAGGCGATCACTGGGGCAAAGCTGGATGAACGTGCCGCTTGGCCAGTTCAAGTTGTTGTCCCAGCCCGTGTGCCCATGGATCAGAGACATCCAACAAGTGTGAGCGGCATTGTGCAGAGAAGCGAAGGACGTCAGGCAGGGCTTTAGCCGGTTTTTGGGGTTCTGTGTTTGCTGAGGCCGAACGCAGGAAGGCTGGCGGAAACCTTGCAGGCAAAGTTCACATGGAGTCACGGGGCCTTGGTTTCGACGCTCCCGCTGTGGTTTCGCGCGAATTGCGTTGCGTTTCGATGCTCCCGCTGTGTTTTCGCGCGAATTCCGTTGCATTTCAATAAAAACACAGGGTTTAAGTCAACCCTGCGGCTGGGTGCCGGGGGTTAGTATTCTGGGGTAGCGATTTTGGGGTTGAGCATCATGAGCATCAGCTGGGTCTTTTGGCCCCCAAGTTCCACACGCATGCAAAGCCGAATCCCCCAGTGACTGACCCGCAAGGGAATTCGCCCCCCCCCCTCCCCCCCCGAACTTTTGTACTTTTTGTCCCCGGGAGTGTCGGTGCTCTTCTGGCCTGCTTTAGCCTTTTCTGGCCCTCCTCACTGTTTGGGGTCTACGCCGGCATAATTCATGTTAAAAATTTTCAATTAAATTTCATTAATTTCAAATACATGTATTTAATTTTAATTGATTTTATATTTTTTCAGTATTTTTGATAATTTTTTATCTAGTTTTAATTAATCTACTTAATTTTAATTAATTTGAATTCATTCGAATTAATTTTCAAATTAATTTCATTCATTTTTAATTAGTTTTGTAATTTTAATTGCAAATTTAAATAATTTTTAAATTGTAATTAATTTGAATTAATTTTAAAAAACTTTAATTAATTTTACTTAATTTTAAATAATTTTAATTTTTAATTTTAATTAATTTTAAATTAATTTTAATTTTATTATTTTTAATTAATTTTAATTAATTTTATTTATTTTAATTAATTTTAATTAATTTAACTAATTTTAATTAATTTTAATAATTATTTTAATTAATTTAATTAATTTTAATTAATTTTAATTAATTTTAATTAATTTTAAATTAATTTTATTAATAATTTTTAATTAATTAGTTTTAAATTAAAAATTAATTAATTTTAATAAATTAATTTTTAAAATATTTTTAATTAGTTTTCATTAACTATTTTCATCAATTTGGTTATGTTTTAGTTTTTTGATTGATTTTAATTAATTTTGATTACAATTTGATTAATTTTAAATCGTTTCTAATTAATTTTAATTCATTTTAATGAATTTAAATATATTCTAATTATTTTAATTTTAATTAATCTAATTAATTTAATTAATTTCATTGATTTTCATTGATTTCTTAATTGAATTCGTTTTATTAGATTAATTTTTAGTTATTTTGAATTAATTTTAATTAATTTTAATTAATTTAATCAGAATTCATTTTAATTATTTAATGTTAATTATTTTAATTAGTTTTAATGTTTTTTAATTGATTGAATGAATTTTTTTAATTAGTTTAAGTAATTTTAATTTTTTAAGTAATTTTAAAAAATTTCTAATCAATTTTAATCAAAATTTAATTAATTTTAATAAATTTATTAATTTTCCTTAAAATAAATTCAAGATAATTAAAATTAAGAAAAAAATGAATTAAAATTGATGAAATAGATTTAAAATTGATGAAAAATTGATTAAATGATTCAAAAGCAAATTAAAGTTAATTAAAAAAAAAAATAATTAATTAAAAATAATACAATGAATTAAAAGAATTTAAATCAATTAAAATCATTAAATAGATTACAAGCAATTAGAATTAATTAAACCTAACTAATTTCAATACATAAATTTTAATTAATTCTAAACACGATAAATATAATTTTTTACAAGTTTTAATCAGTCTTAATAAATTTTGATTAATTTGAATAATTTTAACGTACTTTTATTAATCTAAATTATTTTTTATTATTTTTATTATTTTTAATTAATTTACCAATTTTTTAATTGATGATCATTAATTCTAATTAATTTTGATTGCTTTTAATTAAGTAATGGAAATTAATTTGGGTTTTAATTTGAATGAATTTTTAATTATTTTAATTCATTTTAATTAATTTTAATTAATTTTATTATTTTAATAATTTTTAATAAATTTTCATTAATTTATAATTTTTTAAGTTTTTAATTATCTTTAATTAATTTTAATTAGTTTTGCTTAATTTTAATTAATTTTAATTAATTTTAATTGATTTCGTTGTTTACTTAATTTTTAATTTAATTAAATTCATAATTACTTTAATTTTTAGTTTTATTAAGTTTATAATTACTTGTAAATAATTTCAATTAATTTTAATTCGTTTTAGCTAATTTTAATATAATCAATTTTCATCAATTTTCATCGATTTTAACCAATTTTAAATTTTCAATGAAAAGTTTAATTAATTTTATTAATTGTTTTATTTGGATTTTGATTAATTTTACGTAGTTTTCATTAATTTTTAATTAATTCGAATTAATTTTAAACATAAGAAATTATATAGTCTTTTTTTAAAATATATTTTAAGTCTTAATAAATTTTGATTAATTTAATTATTTTGAATTACTTTTAATAATTTTCATTATTTTCAGTAATTGTAATTATTTTTTATTTTTTTGCCATATCTGGAATTCTTTTCAAATATTTTCAAGAATTGTAATTAATTGTAATTAGTTTTAGTGAATTTTGATTAATTTTCATTATATTAGTTAATTTTATTCATTTTAATTAGTTTTGATTTTTTAATTTGTTTTAATTTAATGAATTTTAATGAAAATCTTAATTCATGTTAATTAATTTGAATTTTAATGGATTTTAATTGATTTGAATTAATTTTATTTAATGTTATTTTAATTTTAAATTTTCCTTACTTTTAATGAATTTCAATTGATTTTAATTAGTTTTATAATTTTAATTAGAAATTTTGATTAATCTTTAATTAATTTTAATTAAGTTTACATTAAGTTTACTTAATTTTCATATATTTTCATTAATTTTAATTCATTTTAATTCATTTTAATTAATTTTCAATTAACAATCCCACTTGATTAGTTCCTTGGTAAAGCGGCTGCAGGAGCTTCAGCTCCCTTTTGATACCGATTTCGGAAAGAAGCAAGCTGCTTCTTCAAATTCTCATGTGTGTCAATGCGCTCCATTTGTGCGAGCACGCGCCAAGCGCAGCATTTGCCGTGGATGTATCCAAGCAGGACAGCTGTCAGCCACCAACGCAGATCTTGAGTTCATTAAGCTTGTGAAGAGGGATGTCCCTATTCCCCCAATTTTGTGGACCAAGCTTCAGCGCAGCTATCCTACTTACTGGATTGCATCCCACCGCCCCTGTTCGTGGCTTTCTGCCATAAACAAATTTCAGGAGGTCAGTTGGGGTAGAACTCCACAGCATTTGCGCGCTCGTGAATGCTTAACCATCTTCTTTTCAGACGAGCGGTGGCACGTCCCAAATTTTGATGACGGTAGCAGAGTTTCATGGCAGGAACTTGTCTTCGATTTCATCGCAGAATTTGGGATTGTGCCAGGCTTCGTCCAACCTGGTATGAGCTTGAGCAAGATGTGTTCCAAATTTCGTACCTACAGTAACAAAATCCTACAGGGTGTTGAGATTAGTAGATACGTCCGAACAACTCACCTTCGTTGCTTTTCGGGCGGCACAGTGAGCGGCCTTGGAGGCCGTCGGTTGTTTAAGCATCCAAACGTTGTATGGTCCCTTTTACTTCAACTCTCAATAAGTAGGGAACATCGGGCTGCTCGCAGCTGCCGCCGTCCAAGTGCATCATTTACCCCTGATTGGAGCACCCTTCCCGGTTTTGAGCTTTCCCCTGCGACTGGTTGAATTCACTTTGTGTTTATCCGAGTTTATCTCTCGCTTCTGCTAAGACGCAGTCACAGCTTCCGTTGTCAGATGCCCGTGGGTGCATGACAGACTAGCAGCAAAAAAATTTTAGTTAATTTTAATTAATTTTAATTAATTTTAATTAATTTTAATTAATTTTAATTAATTTTAATGAATTTGAATTAATTTTAATTAATTTTAATTAATGTTTAATTGGTTTTAATTAGTTTTACTTAATTTTGATTATTTTTAGTTGATTTTAATTGATGTTAATGAATTTTAATTAACATTTAAGTAATTTTAAGTAATTTTAATAATTTGAATGAATTTAATTAGTTTAATTAATTCATTATTTGTAATTATTTTTTTTTGATTTAATTACGTTTAACAAAAATGTAATCAATTTTTAATTAATTTTAAGTAATTAATTTTAATGAATTTTTATTTAATTTTAATTAATTTATTAATTTTATTTAATTTCAATTAGTTTAATTATTTTGATTAATTTTAATTATTTTAAATTGATTTATTAGAATTTAATTAATTTTAAATTTTTAGTAATTTTCATTAATTTTATTTGATTTCATTAATTTAATTTTTATTAGTTTTAATTAATTCAATTATGTTTAATTAATTCAATTGATTTTAATTATTTTAATTAAAATTCAATAATTGAATAATTTTCATTATTTTTATTTCATTTTAATTGATTTTAATTCATTTAATCAATTTTCATCAATTTTAATTATTTTAATGAATTTTTTCATCAATTTTAAATGAAATTTTTAGTGAATTTTAATTAGTTTTTTTTTATTTTTCATTATTTTCATCTATTTTCCATTAAACATAATAACTATAATTTTTTTAAAATTTTAATTAGTCTTAATCAGTTTTGCTTAATCCTTAATTTTTTTTTACTTTTTTTGCCATACTTGTAATACTTTTCAATATTTTCAAGTATTTTAATTAATTTTATTCGTTTCAATTAATGTTAATTAATTTCATTAATTTTAAGTAGTTTTAATTGAATTTTGATTTGTTTTAATTTGTTTTTCATTAGTTTTACTTGATTCAATTATTTTAAATTAATTTTTAATTTATTTTACTTAATTTGAATTGATTTTGCTTAATTTTAAGTAAAGTTAATTGATTTTAATTGATTTTCATTAGTCTTAATTGATTTTAATGAATTTTTTTTAATTGAGGAAATTGAATCAATTTTATTAATTGCAATGAATTTTAATGATTTCTTCATGTTAATTATTGTTTGATTTTAATCAATTTTCATTAGTTTGAGTTAATTAACACTAATTTTAAAATAACTTTTTCATTAATTTTAGTTACTTGTAATTGATCTTTCATTAGTTTTTATGTAGACGCGAAGAATCTGACAATCGACCGTGCCCCATGAGTTGCAGCTCGCGCAAGTATACCCAGAATTTTGTTTTTTTGTTATATTTGGAATTCGTGTTGAATATTTTCAATTAATTGAAAATTAGTGTTGATTAATTTTGATAAATTTTAAATCAAATGTATTTTATTTGCTTTTAATTGAATTTTAATAAATTTTAATTAATTTTGATTAATTTTAATAAGTTGTATTAAATTTTAAGTATTTTGGATTAATTCTAATAAATTTGAATTGATTTTAACTAGTGTTAATTAATGTCAATTTATGTTAATTAATTTTCATTAGTTTCATTAATTTTACTTAATTAAATTAATTTTCATGAATTTAAAATAGTTTTAAACTTTAATTCGTTTTAATGAATTTTAAATAATTCTAATTAATTTTTACTAATTTTACTTCATTTTAATTAATTTTAATTACTTGTAATAAATTTTAATCAATTTTAATTAATTATAATTCATTTTGCGTTAGTTTTAAGTAATTTTAAATTTTTTATTTATTTTTTTTATTAATTTTAATTGTGTTTATATAATTTTAATTACTTTCAATTCATTTTAATTCATTTCAATTCATTTTTCTATGTTCAGAGTATTTCAGAGTAGCCAGCGGCCCGTGCAAGCCGGAATGGCGTCATGCCGACCTTGCCTCGCCGCTGCAGTCACGGCAGGTCCCGGCCAAGATGGGTCGCGCAGCGTAGAAGTAACTCCGGAGTAGATCGTTGGTTGCGCTGGGGCTTTTTAAGACCTCTTTGAATGGAATGACCCTTGATGCAAATTGATGTTTCTTGTTGGTTTGTCCAATGTTAACTCTTTTTTGTTGGATCTGGTCTTACACTCCGGACTTTTGCATTTACTTGCTTCCGGTTTCCCCCATTCTCGGCGGGCCAACCACGCTGATGACTTCTCGAGGAGCCAGCCCCCAGCCAGAAAACACTTTAAACCCCAAAGCCGAGCTGACAGCTGGACGCCTCGAAAATACTTTCGATCTCCAACCGCATGTCTGCTTTGGGCAGCCTAAACTGTATTGCGGGTTTCAACTTCTCGAGCGAGCCCTGCATGCTCAAAGGGGCCCTCCTCACTCTCTGGAAAGCATCGCGGCCAACACAAAGTGACCTTCCATTTGCCGTGGTGGACTAGTGTTTGCAAGTCAATTTCTCATGGTGTTCGATTAAATGAACCATGGAGATGAGTTCTGTGCTTAACTATGTATTTAGGTCTACCTTTTTTTGCATGCAGAAATGTGTACGTCGCTGATGAGCTGGGGAAGGGGCGAGAGTGGCTGAGGCACCCCGTCGCTCAGCGAGTCTTCGGAGCGCACGCCCTCGCTTCGACCTTTCTCGGCCTCGAGCCGCCGCGATGTCGGGACTGGGAGAGCAAGGGGGAGAGCATGGGGGAGAGCATGGGGGAGAGCATGGGGGAGAGCATGGGCCGAGGGAGGTCACGGTTGAGAGAGGCGTTCTCTGAGAGCGTGGGCGGTAACCGGATGTGACTGGTGTGCGTGAATCTCTCTCAGCACTCTTGCAAAAAGATTTGCTTTGAGGATGAGCCGGCTGGGCCCTGTGGAGGTGACTGGCGAAGACAGGCACACGGAGAGTCTTCAAATCCTTTATCAGCTCCCGGGGTTCAGCCGTAATGTCTCCGCCTCGCAGCCCTTCGACTTAGGCTCGCGCTCAGCGCCAAAGATCCCAAACGCCGGCGGCGGGCCCAAAGGAGGCGTGGCGGCGCAGGGTCTGGGCACGCCACTCTGACCCAGAAAAAAGGATGCTTTCCCGGTCGGAAGATGCGACGCCCGATGACCGCATCTCTCCATTCTTCCTTCCTCTCCATCGAATCCGGCAGGATCACCACGAAGAACGTGGAGCGCATCGAGTCAAAGACAAGTTCCGTTCGCGAAGCGTATCCAGGTTGAAGAACATGGGAACACGAAGCCCGCCCCCGCCCTCCCTTCTCACAGGCTTTGTTCAAGTCCTAAAAGCCAGATAAGATTCCCGAGCTAGTCTGAATTCCTCCTGCAAGGAAGCTGAAACTTTTTTACGTCGTCCAGTTCGGCAACAATTCGGGTCTCATTCGAGACCTTTTGAAGCATCGGAGAATTTGGTTTCCAGGCCGAGAGGGAGAGAGAGCGGGAGAGAGAGCCGACGCGCAGTTGTGTACAAGCAGGACATTCCCCTTCTTATTTCGCTTCATGATGACAACTGCAGAAACTTGAAACAGCGCATTGGCAGCGAAGCGCGCTGGATGCGCTAGGACAAAGATGAGCAAAGTCATCTTGGCCGTTCCCCCTTCTTCCACCTCCCCTTCCTCCGCCCCCCCCCACGAACCGAAGCTTCGACGATCAATGCTTGTTGGGGAGGTCCTGGCGATCCCGGCTACTTGGGCCGGCGGCAGGAGGCGATTTGAGAAAGGGCCAATATATGTGTAGAAGGGCTGCCTTCCTAGCTTCTCGCAGACATCCGAGAAGTATCGAGAAGTTGCGCTTCTCTCCGTGCTTCTCAGGGCAAAAGGGTCCCTTTGTCTCTCTGGCAGGCCCCGTGCACCGTCAAGGTCGAGACTGCAACAGATGCACCGGAGATACAGCTGTGGCCAAGCTGAACTGATCTCCGGTGTTGTGACATGACCATGGAAGGTGCGCAAGGAAGGGGCTGAGAGAAGTCAACGAAGCCCACGCTCGTTTTTTCTTCAAGCGAGGTTGTGGTCGCAGTACGTCGTCCGGGACTTCCTCAACGCCATGGCCGAGGCACCTGGGGATGGGGCTCTGAGTTGTGTGTGTGTGAGTGTGTGCACGGGGAGTGCAAGCAGAGAGACGGGGGGGGCTACCGGGGGGTGCAGATTCCGCCTGAGGAGCAGCAAGGCTGGATCGTGAGCTACAACGATGCCCCTGGGCTCGGTTCAGTAGATGCGAGAAAAGCACAGAGCCTTCCACGCAATCCCCGCACTCCTCCAACCTAAGCCCTGAACCCTAAGCCCTAAGCCTTAAAACCCTCAATGCGACAGCACAGTTGAGATCTTTGGTTCTCTCTCTCTCTCTCTCCACAGAGGAGAACCGCATCCGACTCGAGCAGCGCGAGGGAGCTGCAGGCAAGAGGGTAAGGGATTCCGGGCAAGAGTCAAGAGACCTAAGTCGTTGTTTGAGTGCGCTTATGCTCTCTTGTTTGGAATGCTTGGAATGCCAGGGTCTGCGGGGTCCCGCGTGCACAACCACTTCGAGAAGAACGCCCTGATCAGCTCCAAGGCAGAGTGCCCTCTCGGAGTGGAGTTAACAAATTCCATGGTCCCATTGATGGTCCCCTGTGATGCCTTCTCCACATCCTCTCCTTCTATAGCTTTCTGTGGGCTTCTGGCAGACCGTTGCTGAGTGCTGAGTACTGCTTGGTTGAACAACCCAAGCGTTTGGTGGAACCTCAGATGGAAAATCCGATGGAACACCTCCAAAAGGCCTCTTCGTCTCGGTATCTTCCGGTCTGCCCATATGCCCCTCAACAGTGCGCAGGCGGGTCTTCGGGAGACTATGGTTGGCTACTACAGAAGCCACGGCCGGGACCCCTTCGGCGCCATCCCGCTCACCTTTGTGGCTGCTCGGAAGAGTTTTTTCAATTCTACAAATATTGGAAGTTCGGAAACCGAGGGGTTCAGCATGGTGCAGAGCAGTTCGGGGGGCATTTGAGAGAGGTTTCATAAGGGCGGGAGTGGGCGTCTTGTTGGAGACCAGAAGAGGAACCTTCAGTAGCCCCAGCGTGGTTACAGGTGCGTGCCGGCTCTACGGACCCGGAGTTTGCGCAGTGGCGAGAGAGCTTTGAGGACACTCTGCCCAGACTGTTGCCTTGTGGGCCGGTTCCGAGTCAGACAAAGCAGGCAGGAGTCTCCCTGATGTCGACTGCATACCCCGCAGGTTAAGTGAAACGACTGAGAAACGAGTATTGCCACAAACACGGCTGGATCGTAAAAACCTGACGTCATGAGCAGCGCGCAACGTGCAGGCCTTTAACGCCCGGCAGTGAACTGATCAGAAAACCTTGGCTGTTTTCGCACTGCTGGTTGGACTCATTCGATCTGTTGAGGCTTTGGGTCGATCGTGTAAGAACAGGCAAGAAGAGGCATGGACATATTTGCATGCCGCGGCCTCGAGACGCGAGGAGCTCAGGGCCGCGAATGAGACAGTGTGGCTGGTGAAGCCCGGAGACAAGGCTGAGTTGGTTGGGATTTCTCTGAAGGCGCCTTTAAGCCAAGATCACGAATCGCTGGACTGAGTGGCGCGCGGCGGCTATCTAGAACTGTCCTAAAGGTAGCAGAAGTCCACGACGTTCGCTCATCTTGGGGAGTGAGAAATGGATCTAAAACGAGACGCCCTATCTTTGAGCGAAGCCCTCCCCCTCGAAAAGCCCAAGGAAAACAAGAAGCAGAAACAAGAAAAGCAAAGCCCGCAAGAGCCCTGAGTCTCGACCCTCGAAGAAGTCGGCGTGTCGATCCTCCGATCGCGCGGACTGTATTGCAGCGCACGGCATCACAGCGGACTGACGACCTGAGAGGCCAATCAGGGCAAGGGCATCGTTGTGTGCGACAGCGCGGAGGAGGTGCAGGATGCTATTGATAGCAGCTCCGGCCCTTTAAGAAGTTTTTTTTGTGGAGCCTTTCTGGATTCTTTTTTGAGCTTTCACCTGCGCTCATGTGATGGTCATCTGAATCGAAATAGGGAAGCTGTTGCGGTGTCTTCCAGCTCGCTCGTGCCACTGATCCTTCGCACTTTCCGAGTTGGTGGCGTTCGCTCTTTTGAGGCAAGAGCCGTGTCTGGGTAATCCAGAAGTACATCGAGAAGCCCTTCCTGATCCACAAGCGGTGCCCTGGACTCAATAGCCTTCCACCACCCCTTTCATCCCTTACCTCCCTTGCCTCCCGTCCCCCCCTCCCCCCTCCCATAATCTGTGCATTCCTCCTGCACAGGAAGTTCGACATCCGATCGTACTGCCTCCTGGCCCAGGACCCTTCGACAGGCCGGTTTGAAGCCTTGAGGGGAGAGCGAACTATCCAAGAGCTATCGTAATTCTTAATCTTGTCCGAGCCCACCCCCCCCCCCCCCCCCCCCCAGAAAATGAGCCCACACACCCCTGCACACACGAACACTCCCAAGATGGTGCACATCAAGTTGCAACTACAAGAGCAAGTATGACTGGTCTAAATCTGTATTCGGTTTCGAACAATGCATGGTGAGGTTTAAAAAGCCATAGAATCACACGCACTCCAGAACATGTTTCGCAGCGAAATCAGATGCTGACAGGGACATGTCGCAGCACAAGATTTTCCTTGTAGCACCACACCTCACTTGTTTCCATTTTCTGTCAAGGGAGGTTTGCAAGGAGGTGGGCTCGGGGAAAGTGAAATGACATCCTATGAAGTCAGCTTCCTTTTTGATCCTGGGCTCTGAAGGGTGGCTTGCATATGGAAATTTGCCAACGGAAGCGCCTCAGATCCTGAGGAGCTTTGCACGGCTATTTCTACAGACAGGTGGGGTGGGGGGGGGGGTCTGGGAGTTTGGGAACATGGAGATTCTTGCGGAGGTTGCGAGTTGTTGCGTATGTTGTGCCTGAAGGCATACCTCCGGACGACAAGCGCCGCATTCACGTTGGCGACCAAAGACCGCTTCGTTCATCTGAACAACGATGCGGTGCAGCCGCCCAGCTCAGAGTACCGGCGACTTCCCTCTTCAACCCGAAATATCCTAAACTCATCTAAACTCCTAAACGGCTTGCGGCTTAAGCCCACTCCACACCCCAGACACGTCCTTGGATGCGGGGAACTCACCGTCATCCTTCGCGCCGCCTTGAGGAAGCATGGCGAGGGCTATGGCAAGTACGAGGCAGCCAACAAGATGTCGCTGTCGGACCCACGACCAGCTTAGAAAAGCCTTTTGAGGTTTGGGATGCTTATCTAGAGGGTCTCTTCTTGTAGGTTCTTGCTAGACTTGGGGCTCATTTCCACCGTTTGGGGGGGAAAACAACTATTTGGTCAACGGATTGCGCTTTTCCTCGTGCGGAAAATCGCGACATGTTGCGATTCTGCGGTCAATTTCTTTCAAAGTGTGGGGGGGGGCATCCGAGCGTTCTCCCTTCCCTTTTCGAGTGGTTATTGTGCTCTTGTCTCTTGCGTGACAAAACGCGGCTTTTCGTCAAAGCTGAGAAGAAAATAAGCTTGCAGCTTTTTGCGAACCCCCCCCCCCCCCTCCACGAGAGCTCCGCATTTCAACACAGCGACAAGGAGTTTCAGAGCTACCTCGACGTCCACCACGGACGCGAATGTCTGAGCATCCACGGCGCCTTGCTTCCACAGATGAAGGCAACTTGGAACTAACTTGGTGGGGGGGGAGGAGACTCGGGGAGGTATTGGTGCTCTCATTGCAGAAAGGGAGAAGTGGGCAGAGACAGCTCAGAGTTCTCGTCCTCCACTAGGTAGTGCCCTGCCCTTCTATACGATACGCTCCGAACATCCTCCGAAAGGTTCCCCACAAGAAACCATGAGGATCTAGTCTTGCCGAGGCTCCTGCGGGCTGGCAAAATGAGGAGCTTGCAGGATTTCGCGTATTCCTTTGGAAGAAGCCAGATGTAAACGCAAAGAGTACGCACTCTCAACAACCGGCTTTCTTTTCCTTTGGAGCTGTGAGCCAAAAGCCGCGGCCTGAGGCCCTGATGGCAGACACGCTGCGTGCTGTTGGCACAAAGATCAACCCACGTGGCATCCAGCACTGCTTCGAGGCTCCGACCTGGAGAGATACTTAATTTCCCCCCCCCCCCCACCAACCATCTTCGCAATGAGAGCCCGGAGAAGGGCCGCTATGAAGAGGGCGCCTGCCCCCCCAGAGCCATGGAAATCTCCGGGGAAGTCCTTTCGCGAACTCTTCGCCAGGTCTTTGGCTTCGACTTCATGGTCGACGAGAACTTCCGGGTGTGGCTCATCGAGGCTCCTTTCTTCAAGCAACCGCTCTGGGTTGATGAAGGCGCCCTCAGCTCTCTCGCCTCTCCCCTGCTGAGGTGAACACCAACCCGAGCTTGGACCTTTGCTGCAGCCTTCTGATGTCGATGATCCCCAAGATGCTGGACGAGGCGCGCTTTCCCCCCCTTTCAGATGCTGGCCACCATAGTGCTACAGGCAACTGACCTTTTGGACCCGTTGGGCCAGAGGCCCTGAGCTTGTCCTTGGACAAGATCTTCGGAGACTCCACCGCGGCCCACACGGCTTGGGAGCGGGTTTTGCTAGCGGCGGGGGGGAGGGGAGGACTTTTCAGAAAGACCCAGAAGGAACCAAGGATAAGAGAGGGGGGGCCCACGGAGTGGAATGCGTTTTCAGGGCCTCAGGCGATGTGAGGAGCCAGAGCCGTGAGAGATTGTGTGTAAGGGGGGTCATACAGACCCATAGACATGGAACAAGCAGGAGCCCATCTACAGTTCCGAGGAGCGAGCTGAGGAGGCCGCTAGCGACGCTTTTGTCGGAATTTCATTGAGGTGGTTACTGGGTTACTTTCAAGGATGGCTTCGGTAGGAGTGGCCTCCCACCAAGCACCTCCACCCTTGTGGGTTCACAGAGGTTCAAATTGCTTTGTTGCTTTGTAGGCAGAAGCTTTCCGTGGCATCCTGTAAATGGGTTGTGGCAGCACTTGACAGCACTTTGCCTCGGGTAGGGTGTTGTTTTTTTGTGTTTTTTCCTGTTTTTTTTGTGTGTTTTGTTTTCCTGTTTTTTAAGCAAGAAAGAAAGACAGAAAGAGAGAAAGAAAGAAAGAAAGAAAGAAAGGAAGAAAGAAAGGAAGAACGAAAGGAAAGATAGAAAGAAAGGAAAGCGGAAAGCAAGACAGAAGGAAAGAAAGAACTAAAGAAAGAAAGGCCGAAAGAAAGGAAAGCAAGACAGAAAGAAAGAAATACCTAAAGAAATAAAGGCCGAAAGAAAGGAAAGCAAGACAGAAAGAAAGAAAGAGAGAAAGAAAGAAAGAAAGAAAGAGAGAAAGAAAGAAAGAAGGAAAGCAAGACAGAAAGAAAGAAAGAAAGAGAGAAAGAAAGAAAGAAAGAAAGAAAGAAATAAAGAAAGAAAGAAAGAGAGAAAGAAAGAAAGAAAGAAAGAAATAAACCCCCCCCCCTCCGCTTTGTTTAAGCCGTGCAAGCTTGCCTCAAAGCACATGCCATATGCACACTTTTGCGGAAACCCATCATGCGAGAATCGTGTTTGCAAATGGGGGGGGGGGGGGCTGCGTCCCCCCCAACCCCCCCGCTGTTTCTCAAGCCGTGCAAGCTTGCCTCAACGCATATGCCATATGCACACGTTTTCGGAAACCCATCATGCGAGAATCGTGTTTGCAAATGGGGGGGGCTGCGCCCCCCCCAACCCCCCCGCTTTCTCAAGCCGTGCAAGCTTGCCTCAACGCATATGCCATATGCACACGTTTTCGGAAACCCATCATGCGAGAATCGTGTTTGCAAATGGGGGGGGGCTGCGTCCCCCCCAACCCCCCCGCTTTCTCAAGCCGTGCAAGCTTGCCTCAACGCATATGCCATATGCACACGTTTTCGGAAACCCATCATGCGAGAATCGTGTTTGCAAATGGGGGGGGGCTGCGCCCAACACACCCTACACCAAAAACCCTAAGCCGTAGTTCCGGACTGAAGGGGCAATGATACGAGGAGCAACCTTGACCCCGCAAGCCGTAGAGCCTAATAAGACCCAAGCCGTCCACCATAAGCCGCAAATCCTGATAGAATGTTTGCGGCCTACATGCGCAGTAAGCCCTAAACCGAAGCAAAGTTTCAGATTGAAGCATCCGACTAGCTTTTGAGTCCTGTCGGGGCCAACGATGGCCGCCCCGACGCTCCAAGCGCGAGTTGCAAAAGGACGAAGGGTTGGACGTAATGTGCTGTTGTAGCACGTTGAGATTTGGACCTGTTCCGGACACGCGGTGCCGCTGAGAGGCCATCGGAAGCTGAAAACCAGCAAAATTCACCAAAAAAACCAGAAAAATACACAGAAAAGAATTCCCACCAGAGGAGGACGACAGGCAGAACCAGGAGGGCATGTTCTGAAAACCACAGAAAAGCAAGAAAAAACAAGAAAATTCACAAAAAAAACAGAAAAAATGACCAACAAAATCCTCGCTCCCTTTGCCTCTACCCGCTTTCGTGCTGCGATGTACAGCACTTCACTGAACTCCTGAGCCCGGAATCACCCGAAAGGTGTGTGGATTCTCCCACTGCATCAGTGCAGGTCTGCTGCCAGTGGCTGCCACCATTGTCTTCGAGAGGCACCCGGTGACCTAGTGGCTCAGTGCCACTGCCACTCGCTTGCAGCTGCAATTGTACCAACGATTACCAACGGAGGCTTCAGATTTCACGATTATTCCTCTGGTGGGTGGTGGTGGTGCAAGGCTTTGTGTTGCAGACCCCATTGAAAAGCCTGGGGTCATACTGGTCACACCTTCGAAAAAGAGGGCAACCAACGAGGGCGCCTCAGCTTGAAGTTCCAAAGCTCGGCATTGTGCCCAGCGCCGAGAACCGCTTCAGACATCGCCACTGAGCTCCTGAGCTCGAAGACCAACTCGCCCCCCCAAGCGAACCCTATCTGATCCCTCAAGCACTCGCCAGAGCTTGCAGTGCACACAAACGCACGCAAAAGGGATGATGACTTCCACTTGGGCTCCAACAGCTACAAGTTTGTAAGGTTTCTTGAGGGCAATCCCAAGACAGGGCCCTTGGAATGAGGCATGCTGACGCTTGCCGTCCGAGATTCCTGGGATGCCTGGGACTCCTGATTGGCAACGCCGTCTTCTGCAGGAACCAGAGAGCTCTTGCGGCAACATGCCAAGGGCTAAGTTTCCGACCACTCTTGTAGTGTCTAGGAGGCTCCAAGGCACCCAGCAAAACGTTCCAAGAATCATGGGTGGTGGCTCAAGTGCGTGTAGTTTAGCGAGTTTAGCGGTGGTGTGACGCGTCAGAGTTCCGGTTGGGGGGTGGCCTGGTGGGGTGATGTGGGTCGAAACTCCACTCCTTTGACGGGCATAGATGGCATGGAGCATATCATATTGCTTAGCGGCTACCGATGCCTAGCCTATCACAAGGCCCTGTGTCCACCCGATCGGTTCGTGTCTAGCCATCCAACTCACACCAAACCATATTCTCAAACTGGGCAGCGGCGCCAACTCCTAAGCTAGTGTTTGCTTTGGGCCAGCTTTGCCATCAAAGATGTGAAGCTGAGCCCTCTTCCAGCAAGTGCGAGGAATTCACACAATTTTAAATGTCGGAGGCTTTACGCACCACAAGTGGGCTGGCAGATGTGTCCCGGCTGTTCCCTCGCTGTGTAGTTGCTTCTAAAGTGCCTCGTGTGCTTCAAGATGTCTGACTTCAAACGGAGTAAAGCCATAAAGCTCAACTTACTAGTAAGCAATCAATGGCCAGTTTACACATAGCATCTCCTGTCACGGCCAGTCCTTGTATTTTGCAATGCTGCAAGCCTGAGGGCAAATTTCTGCGGCTGTCTCACAAGCTACAGCAGCTACAGCCAACAGACCGAACCGTTCTGAACGCCGGAAAGCCAGGCATCCTTTTCTTCAAAGAGTCGACAGAAGAAATTAGGGCAGCGCACATGTGCAGAAGAAAGTGCAGCGGTTTGGGGCACGGCATGTGACATAGCTTTTCAGGCTTTGCAGTTGGCCTCATTGAATGAGTGCCGCACCCAGACGTTTGCGAGATGCCCAAAAAAAGGGGGGGGCTCCCCAGAGTGCAGAGCTAATGCATTCAATGCATTCCTTTACTCATCTTCAGGGCTCCCAGACCTGAAGTGTCATATGGCCACCAAAGCCCCGTGTGAGAAATCAATTTCGAGATAGTAGACGTGTCTTGACATGCACGACTGTTCAAGCGATGTGCTGGCAGATGTTGATAGCCACGTATTGTATCCGAGGAGGCCAAGTCCCAAGCACCTTGGCTGATTGCGGTACAGGTCCTTCGTGAAACACAACAGTGAGAACTCTCACATCAGTGGCCTTCGACCCCGGAGCCTACGCGTCACAGTTTTTTCATGAAACCGAAGAGAAGCGTAGCCATTTCGCAAACTTGTCATAAATCATAAATCATAAACTCCCCAAAACAATTTCAAAACATAACTTTTCCACATCAAAAAACTACCTGAAACGTGAGTCTGGCTACACTGACACGTCCAGTGTCATATAAGCCTATGGGCCTAGAAGGGTGTGCAGCAGCTGCCAGCCGACAGGTCAGGCATCGTGCTCGCGCATCTCCACCCCGGGAGGGGAGCAGTCAAAAAAACCCAGGCACCAGCCCCAACCCGGACAGCTCCAACCATGCCCTTACCCTAGAAGCTCTACAAGCCCAATGAGCCCTGTAAGCTTTACAAGCCCTAGAAGCCGCTATAAACGCTGAAACGCTGAAGTTTTTCATGGCCCTAAAGCTTCCAACCTGAACCTTGAATCCAGATGTTACATCCAAGCCGGACGCCCATGATGGCTCGGACAGGCTGATGTTATACCATTTCGAGCTCGAGCATCTTTGGTTTCAAGCGTCGTCTAGGGATTGCGCTGCCAGCACAGGCTTTTGGGCGCAGAACACTAGCCCTAAAAACGTGATTTAACATGTTAAAACACCACAGATGTTTCCCCTGCGACCAATTAGCTCGCGCCATGGCGCGAGCTATTTGGCCATCAGGGCGCAGAAGGGGTGCTATGGTTGCTTACCACGTCACCCTACGAGCGCGAAGGGAGGGGACATACGACAAACTTCGAGGGCCCTCACCAAACCCTACGAGCACAAAGAGCGGGGACATACGACAATCCTCGAAGGGATATGTTTTTACTTCTACAGTGTTCGGTAGTGCTGTGCCCAAAACTTGGGCAGGATGCTAGTTGAACACGCTCGGCCCCCAAAATGTGGGTGCTATTTGAGTACGCTCGAAGGGGCATACTTACAACCCTTATGGAGCCACGACGTTGCCAGCACAGGGATAAAACATGTCAATGTGCTTAAACCACCCCTTGTGGGGTGTGTTTTACTGGTCGCAGGGGCATAGTCACAACCCTTATGGAGCCACGTTGCCAGGACAGGGTTTGTAAGCAACTAGCACCCCATCTGCGCCGTGATGACCAAAACTGCTCGCGCCAGAATGCATTTTTGCAGGCTTGAAAATGCGTTGGGTCTTGCTTTGGTCTTGCTTTTCCACATTGGCATTGATATTCTTTCCTAAGGGAAAAAGCAAAATGCATCTACGCACGGGCGATGAATGCATTTGCATTTTGGTTTCCTGTGTCCGGGGCCCCTCTCTTTTCGCACGGGTTCAGGTCTATTGTGGTTTTGCAAAGAAGCAGCTACGCACCCGCATGTAGCCGGCCTTGGAAAATGCATTTGGGTATGTTCCTTTTGATTCTGGGCCCCTTTCGGAATTCTTGCAAAACGTCGAAAATTGCTCCTAGACGTTTTAGGGCCCTTATAGCTTTTCCTTCTTATGCTGGGAAAGAGGAATATGAGAATCGACGAGTTCATGAACGAGAC